TCCCCCCCCCCCCCCCCCCCTACACCCCCTCTGCTTTCATGACCCTCTTCACAGTGTATATATTAAATAATTGCGGAGATGAAGATACGCTCTAACGGATCGCAATCAAATGCGGTTCTCCCATAAAACAAATTCTCACGCAATGAAAATGGTAAAAAGTTAGTCCTTCGTTGAACAGCCAAAGTAATAGAGAAGCAATGCATTGTAACCACAACTGTTTAGATCGAATTATCTGAATTTGGAGGAAAAATCGTTGCTATATTGTTCGCTTATTTTTATAACCCCCCATAGCTGCGCCAATATTTACCGCGCAAAAATGTTGCACAATTTTCGGGCACGATTTTAAACCTGTTGCACTTAATAAATCATTAGTGCAATCAAAATAGACATTTAACAATTATCTACTATTGTATCTATTTTATAACATACATACATCCTTCATGTCGGATTTATTGTTAACATATGCGAGTCACTATTTTAGTCACGTCATGCACGAGTTACTCTCTACTGTTTTATTCAAACCGGCAATTTCACAACGCAATATTAGATATTACCAGAATAACTCTTTAGTTTAGAAATTAATTAAGATCTGTTGAATTAAATTACAATCCTATACTTTATAGTCAATCTAGTCGTGGATTTTCACTGAGGTCGGTTGACATGTAGTCCGAGCTCTGTCGATTCGAACTCCTTCAAGAATACGCCTGTTATGTAAAATTAAGTCATGCTCAAATGAATTCCCTTCAATGCCAATGGCTTATAATAATCACTATACCAATATTTTAAAGCAACCATTAGCTATAAACATCTGGCTTGATATATCATTTCAGCGTTCATCAATCTTTTCTTACCTTGATTTACTCTGAACTGTATGCGACGCTACCAGCTTGATCACTGCACTGTAGCCGGTATAAACAGCTGCGCCCTTTTATAAGCAATTTCAAGCAGCCCACACAACGCTTGGTCGATCCTGCATCCTATTGGTCAGTTTGAAAAATTGCGTTAGAAATAATTTATTCATCGATGTTCTGGCATTTACCACCAATTGCTGTAATGGCTTGTATTTAGATAACATCCCCCACTGGACGAGTTAGAAGTCAACTTTCTTGTATTTATAAAAGGCAATGCGGATATGTAGCTTTGCCAGATATAAATAATGTTAGCTTTTCGGATGAAAAATGTCCACACGAATGGAATCGGGCAAATATTTTAGTTTGCATATAACTTATGAACTGGCCGCATTTTTGGTTCAATGGTCAGCTCGCGCAAGGGCCGTTAAGCCGGTGGGAAAAAAGACCCCAGAGGAAAGAGAAGACTGCGTATAATAAATATTCTTTGTATTCTATTTTTGTATTTCCGATTTGCAATTCAATTTTTTGAAGGGGTAGTTAATTATTAAATTACAACAAGGTTAGAACTCAAATGTTTTGTCACGACATCAGATATGTTGTAAGTTTCAAAGTATTTTCGCACAGTAGCCTAAATACGAAAAAGATTGACAGTATGTAATAAATATACCAAACGACAAAATTCTAGTAGCAGTTAATTGAATGGTACAAAAAACATCAGTTACTATATCGTGATGCAATATTGCTCGCATGCAAATACTTGTGATAGCTTTAGGTAATTATAGAATAAGTTTAGGAACTTTTTTATGAAAGAGTATACCTACAAACTTCTTTATAATCGTTAGAATTTTGTCACGAAAAGAATCAGTTTTGTGTACATAAAAGGTTCCTCTGGTTAAAAAGTTCCTCTGGCTAGCCTAGCAAGTTTATAGAACCATTATTCTACATGCATGCATAGAGGTTAATACGATTATTCGATTAATTAATTTTTAAATTGCATATATAGATAACGATTATATAGGATTAGCATTTCTATAGCGCATATTTCCATGTGGGTATGATGCACTTTACATTAAGCATTACGCTTGCCTAATTCGATTCCATACTTACCTTATAGACTATTTTATCTTTACAACGATTGAGATATAAGTTTCTCAGTTAACTGTGTTTATCCCAACCCACCCTGTCAATTTTACGCCTTTATGTACAGCCAATTTTAAAAAGTGTGCACAAGTTTCAAGCTTAGTAGTTGAATATTGCAGCTATATTTGTGAATGAATTGTTCTCGTAAGGAGATATTTATCATGTCTCTGAGAAATGGCCCCCATATATGATTTCTAAACTGATTAAATGATGTTCCCATTATGCTTTGCACGCTTAGAGTTTAAGGTTTAAGTTTAAGGTTTGCAAAGGACAATCTTTTCCCACGCAATGAAAGATCCTGAGTACGCGGTTGCCTTTTTTGAATTAGCTGTATACGACCTCTGAAAACTTCGAACCAAACCTCGCAAATGTCTGCTACCCCACAGACACAGTGACACATGATGAAATACCGCACGCTTTGTATTAAGACATATAACTATAGACTGTGTCTAATGATCTGTAATATGCGGGAAAGTTCGATTTAATCAGTGAACATTTTTAGTTTGTTTTGTTTTGTATTTTCAAAAGCACTGTGTTGGTAGTTTTATTCAACAAATGTTATGATACATCCTGCTGTGTTATCGAAGGTGTATTGTGTCCCTCCCACCCACGTCATCGTTCGAGAACATATCTATAGGCAAAAATAGGTTCATATTATGAAGCCTCGAATAGAAAAGAAAATTGCCCTCTCTATTTAACATTTTTCTTCGTTACAAACTTTGCTGGCAATGATTCTCTAAACATTAATTTTTCCACCGAACTTCCCTTTCCTCAATTTGATCCAAATTATATATCTTTCAAACAGGTGTCTTGTACGACATCAGAGGTGCTCTTTCATTCAAAAATTCCTTCGCTCAGTTGGGGTGTTATACATGCAGCTAGGAAAAGGGTGAATTGAACTGAGCACTATTGTGTGATCCACCGGCACTCGTTTGAGTGAAAAAGTATTTTTTTCGATTTCTCTAAAATGTAATCATATCTCAAATACTGGCTTCGCCCCAAAACCACGGCCAACCGACAATTTGAGAAAATATAAAAAGGAACAATGTTGTCTTGTATTAAAACAGGTCAGACACGTTTTTGAAACTGTAAATTTTTGACTTTATGACAACCTCAGACAAACTCATTAATATAATTCATGAAGAAAATTCAAAAGAAATCAATCTATAATGAGGTGTTGAATGACTTATACAAAATTCCTCTGATTTGCATAAAAATATTTCTCGATTTTCTCAGTTAATATCACTTATTTTTTTAATAATTTCTTAAAATACAGACACAGCCGTTGAAGTCCTTACGTTTCACAAGCAATGTACAGTATTGACAGCAATAGTCAATTGTACAATCCAAGCGCCAAAGGTACGATGGGAATAAGATATGTTTTAAGGTGAAATGTATTATAAATCATGTATACACTTGGAAATTGCCAAAACAAAAAGAAGCTATGGTCATAGGCTACCTAAACAGCTAAAAATATTGAAATTTGGTGTACCCAACTTGCTGTTCGCGCTTGGAATGTACCATTGATATACTGTACTTATGATAACCTTAATTGAAATAGCTGTATATATAAAAAAATACTTGTTACTGCGCGCCGATTTCGTTTTATAAACTTATTGATCATCGTCGTCAGCATATGTTGACGTGTAATAATATTTATAGCCCACATGGGTCGCTTATTTTGTTTATTTACAATGGATGTACATGGCTTAGACCACCAACTGTTTAAGATCATATTCAAATTTGAACAAACGAGTGAAAAGCAGATGATGCTGACTTTGAACTGCTTCAAATTTTGATGAGAGTTGATGAGAGTTAGTCGCCACGCGCGCGGTAATCCAGACAACTCTCATCAACTCTCATCCAACTCCTGTTCTCGTTTGACCGCCGGGGCAGGAGAGTTGAGAAACTAACTATCATCGTCGTTTGACCATGGCTTTAGTCTCTACAATGCTTAGTGGTTAATGAAAATTGTAGCCAGGAAAACTTTAGTCTTTACTGAATTTCATTGAAATTTTTAAATATAAATTCGTTGAAAATTTTTTTCATGCAGGCAGTTTCAAATTTTTTTGAATGAGATAACTTAAACATTGAAACTGATGTATCAGCCCAAAAAAATTAACCTGTATCTGTGGAACTGCAGTGGCAATTGATACATATCAGGCGGAAATCTTAATTTGAAGATAAAAAGCAGAGCCCAGCAAACAACTTTAAAACCAAACATAATAAAAGTGAAAAATTTAATAGCTAACGTTTCGTTGTTTACAATGTAACATTTTCAGAGCAAGCTAAATAAATTTATAAGGTATGGTATATATATTTACAAAATAATGGTTTAATATTACAAAAAAAGTTACATATAGTTTGAAAGAACAAATGAATAGAAAGAAATGAAAACAACTTATCAGTAACTAATTAATAAGTAAAGATTAATGTTAAGTGCATGGTTAGTATAGTTGTATCTGCATGTGGATTTTAAAAACCTTTGAAACTCTTGATGAAAGGTGTAAACACGCACGACTAGTATGGCGGACTTAAATAAATGATAATGAACATAGGAAGATGTAGAATTACGTCAAACTGAACAAAGATTTGAAGAGGGTAATTATATTTGGATACAACCCTGTTATTATGCCACTATTTATGGAATCACAAATATCCTGTGTATACTAAGTGGCCGCATGACGCGGAACATGTTTATATACATTGCTATAAC